GGTTGAGTATTGAAATTTGAGGAGTTTTTCTTTATTCATTATATGGTTATAATTGTTATTAATTACATATTATTTCCCAGCATACTAGGTCAATTGAATTATTATTTTTATATCAAGTTTATACTATTTAATTTATTAAATTGTTCTTTATTGTAAGTTTAGTCTTACATTCTATTGGATTAATATTTAGTATATACTTAGGTATATGTGCGTTTTAAAATGTTTTTAATTTTGAAAAAAAACCAAATTTTAAAACTCAAACTAGAAATGAAATAATTTATCCAAAGGTGGCGTTCCAGTATAAGGAGGGTAAACTACTTAAAATACGAGAAAACTTAAAAACAATCTTTTTTATTCTCATGTAAATTATATGTACCTATAATAATATGTGTACATGTTTAATTTTATGTTGTATTAATTTATTGATTTTAATTTATCAGTAAGTATACAATTTGTGTAAACTAATCTAAACAGTTTTATAAATTTTGTTGAACACACAACTCGTGTAACAACCAATTTTTTGGTTGGGGCACAATTCGTTAACTGTCCCAATTTGACGGTCAAATTGGTAAAAGTTAGTATGGGTTCACCTACTTTTCTCCTTTTTTTTGAACGATTATCATACAAAATACATTAAATCACAAATTGAAGTTGTAGTATAAAAAAAATACTGTATAGTGAATACCTAGTGAAAATAATTGCAGTGTTAAACAATAAAAATGTTTGAGCATCATATTCCACTCCAAAAACATGTTAAAATAAATTTACATTAAAATAGTGTAAATTATATTGAGTTTTTTCTTCAAAYAAGTCTTAAAAACACATTTTTCGAAACATAACACATTATATAAATCTATTTTGTGTAATGTGTATGTATGTCAAAATATCATCCAAACAAAAACACTTTACACATATACACAGTGTAAATAGAAAACTATAAAGTATCAACGTTTTGTTTTGTACACAATAAGCTTAACTTCAAAATAACTTATAAATTATTATGTAAATAAATTAAATTGATATTTAATTTTTCTTAAGATTTTTTAAAGATATAATAATATGCTTTTTAAAATAATATACAGTCTGAAGTCGTAGGTCAATCAACTGGTGGAGTTGCCAATTTGTTCAGCTTCCAAAACTGTGTCTGGCATTTTTTTATTGAGAGTTTCCGGAAACAGTAGTGCCAACAATCCAGATATTAGAGCAGATACACTGAATAGTAGTAAGGGGGACAATTCGCCGAAATAAGTAACCTGAAAACAATCATAGAATAATAATTAATAACAAGTTGAAATTAATAATTCGACTAGCAATAAGCACTATGATTTCCTAAACTGTAGTTACACTCACCTGCTAGCTATGATGAGAATAATTATTATATTTATTATGTTAAGCTGATCAAATCTCTAACCAAATTAGATAAATTTTCTAACTTTTTAGAAATATCAGGGAATTAATTGTTTAATTTAGTAATTATTAGATATAATAATATTATGACTATTTTAAATAATAAAAATATGATTTATTATTTATTTATAGAAACTTTTAGGTATAATCTTTATAAATTAATCACTTAACTCAGGTACATATCTTTTATTTAAATATATTTTTTCAAACTTGTAATTTATTTATTTAGGTTAGGTACTTGTAATTTGTATCCATGTACGATTTATAGAAGAACTGTCCAACCCCATATATACAGTGGCATATAAATGACTTTTGTAAGGCAGGATGGAGGTGGAATCTGATATATTATGTACAAAAAAGAGGCTATTAATGTATCAACAAATAATTTTAGATAGAATTCAAGCTTTAAAAATTCACTGGATTCGTCACGCCTATGTTCATGAAGTTATATAAATTACCTATGGGCATTGTAATAAAACATATACCTACCTTCATATTTAATACATTTTTTTAACAGAATCAAGTTATAAAACTATTTTATACTTTGGAAATTTGTTTAGGTACCCACCTATTTTAATTCTTTGATGAGTAGTATTACTGTGAGTGKAATCTTGTGTTTAACTGCCGTTATGAAGAGTTCAATAAATGAATAGAAAATCATCGATTACATTTATTGTCTATATATCTTATATGTATTATATTATCCCTAGTTCTACATAGTGTAGTAAATTGTAAGTACCTTATTATGAAATCTATAAAATTGCCACTATATCTGCATTATAATTTATAATATGTTAAATATATTGTATTCTTATTAAAATAATTACCTAGGTACATTTTTTTATGAATCGTAATACATATTATATTTGAAAACTTTTTGTAAAAAAATTATCTTTTCATACATTTTTCTAGATGATAGCTGTGCTTGGTCCCACACATCCCCCTTGTATAGACCTGGGTACATATTAATTTATAATAATTAAACTTACTAATAATGGAGTTTGTGGTGCCACCATTGAACCGATCCTGCCAAACATGGAGCATATGCCGAGTAGGGAATGTCGGATTTCCGTTGGGAACATTTCGGCGGTGTACATGTACAGTATTACGAATGATATGGTTATGGAGAACTTTCCAATCAGGTACAGGAGTACATTTAAGATGACCGCATCTAAAAAAAAGACAACAGTTCACCACACAAGACACAATTTGTCAATAGTAATGTATCATTGCACAATAGACATAGCATTTTTGTCGTATTCGTATATCCGTTGGTAGAATAAGTATATATCTCAATCATAGAAAAAACAAACACATATTGAAAAATTAGTCTGTGTATATCCATTCACCTTCACTCTCTTGTAGGCGTTATAGGTGGTACACCAATAAGTTTGACATCTCTTTTGAAATATCATAATTTACAGGCRCAAAATTTTTTTTTTTTTTGGTCTTGAGCCCGGCAACTATGCRGCTGTTAGATATTTTAGGGATTTCTGTAGGGGTAAGTACGGTTGGAACGATAAGTTGGCAACACGTGTATRTGAAGTAARGTTTTTTCACTAAGAACCAGRGTGGACACCCATCCGGTAACTAGTGTCAGCGGGTGGTGCGTACTCTCGATCAMRTGGCGTACTTGTGTGACTGTTACAGCAAACGCACTACACCAAGTCACAATATTATAATACTATATAGGCACTATAAATGTTCTTTAAACTCTTAAATTTTGAGACTCTGTTAATCAGTCAATAAAATAGAAATTATTGAATTTTTCAATCGATAATTGTATCAAATCCCCGTGAATAAATAATTCATACAATAGTATATATTAGGTACCTGTACATAAATAATGACTATTATTGTAATTTGTGATTCATTGGACTATGTATACTGCTTCCACTCCCTCATACTCACCCCATCTATCTGGACCCGAAGAAAAAACCTGTCAGCCACATAGACGTATAGTGTGATGAATTTATATTTATACAATTTATTTAAGAACGTGTATAATGTTTCGGGTATATAATAAAACGCATTATAATTCTGTTTAACTATTATTAATTACGTTTTGGGACAAATGCGATCGAGATGCATAGAATACTGCACACCAAAAGCGTGGCACATTGCGACTCTCTTCGGCCACAGTTGTTCATGATCTTGATCACCAAGAACAATGCTGGGATTTCAACGAGGCTGCACAGAATGAAGTTCCCATACCGGTTTCCCACTATTGAACCCGAGCTCATAGACAGGCCATAGTATATGAGCGTGTTGATCATCCTGAGCATAATAAATAATAGCAAAAATTAATGATACACAAAAATATAGAATACAACRATAGGTATCAATAATTGTGTAACCACTGAATACATCAACAGAGATGTTAAATACATCTGGTGTTTTTAAGTTACCTATACGTGGGCCACTTTTTTGAAAAGAAATATTTTCGTTTATAATAATAATAATTATTATGATTAGTATATAATATACCTATTATAATATAATATAACAATTAAATATAATAAATTATTAACTATTTTTAATTACTTTTTATTAAACCAATATTATGATCCGAGATTATTTTCGAATCATTAGAACCAAATTTAAATATGAGAGAATCAAATGTTATGTTTATATATATATA